AACCAATCAAATCCCGTTCTGGCCTCCTGCGCGTACATGTCGCCGGTCTGCACTGGACCTGATTCAAAGCACATAGCCAAGCTGAGAGGGATACAGCCACACTGGAGAATGGCAGAGAAACTACCTATACCCAGATTAATGGTGACTGCTCCTCCTGCAAAAAAGAGCAAGAAAAGAAAGACAGAGGCAGAGAAGGCAGAAGCAAGACAGAGTTCGGAGAAAGCAAGGGTAAAAATGAAAGTCAACATCGGGACAGTTTCTCAGCGATGAAGAGAACTGACAGAGGTCAAGGGCTTTAAAAGTGATGCCATGGTTGCTCATTTTCTGTTGGAAAGGTAGGTTGAGGGTTTCAGGGCGATTTTTAATCATGATTAAGCATTTAGCCACGTTGTTAAATATGTGGTCATCCCGATGCTAATGTTGCCTTCTTTGTCCCTGCTGTGCAAAGACTTCCCAATCTAAAGTCCCAAAGTTTTGAGTCTGTGGTTTTGAAGCAGCAGACAGCAGCACTCATGCATGTGAGCAGGGGCGTTGTTTTGGAGGAGCTACAAGAGAAGGGGGGAGGGGGGAGACAAAGTCCTGAGGAGATGCTACATTCAAATTCATGCTAGTTTGCCGTGATTAACAACCCTACCTTTAATCAGACCTTGGGTCCTTCAGCAAACATGAATGTGAGTTCATTTAAACTCAGGGTTCACATTTAAACTAACTTGTCTCAGAACTTTGGGACAATCAACTCCAGCAATCACAGTGTATAATTCAAACACTAATAGGATAGAATAGAATAGAATATTCCTTTATTGATCCCCCATGGGGGAATTTTTTTTTGCCAAAGCAGCATCACAGACAAAGGTAGTGCAAAATGCAGTTATAAAAATAAAGATCGTAATATTCAGAAACTAAATAAATGTTTTAATTAAGAAAAAAATTAGAAAAAGGAAAAAGGGGAGAAGAAAATAAAATAAGATAAAATAAAACTATATAAAATATACACAATTTAAGTACCAGAAAAAAAGTGGTGGTGTGAGTCCAGTTCTATTACAGTTCGTTGTAAAGTCTTATTGCAGAAGGGAGGAATGACCTGCGGTAGCGCTCCGTCTTGCAAGGTGGAAGTCTCAGTCTGCTGCTGAAGGAGCTACTTAAGGCCCCCACAGTCTGGTGCAGTGGGTGAGAGGTATTGTCCATGATGGATACAAGCTTTGCTAACATCCTCCTCTCACCACTGACCACTGACCACTGCATAGAAAAGTGCAGATGTTACCACAGAGTCATAGAAAGTCCTGAGCAGAGTACTGCACACTCCAAAGGACCTAAGTCTCCTCAGCAGGTGGAGACGACTTTGGCCCTTCTTGTACAGGACATCCGTGTTGGTTGACCAGTCCAGTTTATTGTTGAGGTGGACACCCAGGAATCTGTAGGACTCCACCATCTCGATGTCCAGACCCTGGATGTTCACTGGAACAGTCTGAGGTGTCCTCCTCCTGCAGAAATCCACGACCATCTCCTTTGTGGAGGATGAGTGGAGGGGGGTTGATGATGCCGGTGCCATGGGACTGAGGTGGTGTGAAGAAGAAGCAGCAGACAGGTCGTTGGTTTGATGAGTTGGGGGAGGAGTGGGAGCAGAGTCAAATCTATTGAAGAACAGATTCAGCTCATTGGCCCACTCCCTGTCTCCTGCTTCAGGTCCCCTCTCGTGGCCCCTGCTCCTTGTCCCCAGATTTAAAGACCCTCCTCTTCTCCTTCAGGAGGACTCTAAGTTCCTGGGTCACCAAAGGTTTGCTGTTGGAGAAACACCGTACTTTCCTGGTGGGTACGGTGTTCTCAACACAGAAGTTAATGTAGTCCGTGATACAATCTGTCATGATATTGATGTCATCACCATGTGGGCCGCACAGTACATCCCAGTCTGTGGTCTCGAAACAGTCCTGCAGCACCTCAGTGGCCTCCTCAGACCACCTCTTAACATACCTGATGGTGGGGGGTTGTTTCTTCATCATAGGTATGTAAATGGGCTGCAGTCTCACCAGGTTGTGATCTGAGCGGCCCAGCGGGGGGAGGGGGGAGGAGGTGTATGCATCCTTGGTGTTTACATACAGTAAGTCCAAAGTTTTATTGTCTCTTGTTGGGCAATTTACAAACTGGCTGAAGGTAGGGAGAGTGGAGGATTGCGATGCATGATTAAAGTCTCCAGATGTGATGATCAGAGACTGAGGGTGTGATGTTTGTAGCTTGGACACTTCACCATGGAGGAGTTCACAGGCTGCAGCAGCATCAGCCGAGGGGGGTGGGGGGGGTGTAAACAGTTAATGCGATGACATGCAAAAACTCCCTCGGTAGGTAATATGGCCGCAAACTCACAGCCAGCAGCTCAATGTCCTTAGAGCATCACTGCTCTTTAACACTGACGTGCCCAGCATTACACCATCTCTTGTTCACCTACACCGCTATCCCGCCTCCTTTCGTCTTAACACTCTCCCTCATGCTCCGGTCTGTTCTAACGAGATGAAATCCGTCCAAAGTTACGAGCGGGTCCGGAGTGAGTTCCTTCAGCCATGACTCTGTGAACAACATGAGGCTGCACTCCTGGTACTCCCACTGCAGCCTAGTCAGCGCTGTGAGCTCTTCCATCTTGTTGGGGAGAGACCTCACGTTTCCCATGATGATGGACGGGACAGTTGGTTTATAACGTCTCCGCTTTGCCCGATGCTGAACTCCAGCCCTGCATCCTCTCCTTCTCCTGCAGAGCTTGGTGGGGATGTCCGGTCTGTCCAACAAAGGTGGCCGGGCTTGGCGCAGCGCCAACAGCTGTTCATGGCTGTAAACAATGGAGCCGCTGAACGGGTGGCCGGACGCAGACTTGAAAACTCCAAAAAGTTAAAGAAAACAAAGTGCTAGAGTCATGAAATGCACATCCATGGTTGGAATATGCAAAACACAACACTGCTAAATAAAAAGAAAGACAAATGAGGTGCAAAAAAAAAAAAAACAATAAGAAGGCAAAAACGTAAAGTCTGTGAGGAGCTGCTGTGACTTGCTGCCACTCTCAGGGCGCTCAGTCACTCATGAAAACAAGAGATCCTCCGTCTGGGATTCCGACCCAGGACCTTCTGGTTGTGAGGCGACAGTGCTAACAACCACACCACTGTGCTGCCTTATAATGCAACAGATTTCATATAATTTATCAGAGACCCTCAAAGCACTTTACATTGGATACATCATTCATTTGCTCACACAGTCACACTTTGGTGGTGGTGAACTACCTTAGTAGTCACAGCTGCCCTGGGGCAGACTGACAGAAACGTGGCTGCCATTTTGCTACTTAATTACAGTAACTTGAATATTTGCAATTAATTACACCCCTGCTAATAATGTTCCGCGCTGCATGGGAGAAAGCATCAAACACAAAGATGAAGACGTCTTAACAAACTGGTGAAAAAGGCTGGCTCTGTGGTTGGACTCAAGCTGGACTCAGTTGAGGATGAGGAAGGTGGAGACTATTCTAAAGAACATGGATCACCTACTTCACAACACCTTGATGGACAAAATGGTGCAGGACAGAAAGATTTAGAAGATGTTTTGTACCAACAACCATCAGGCTTTATAACTCTTATGTAAATAATAGATAACTTTTACAGACATATTATGTGAGACAACAGACAATTGAATTTCTCTTCTGGGATCAATAAAGTTCTTCTTATTCTTAATGGTGTCAAACAGATGTTAATATTTTCTGTTCTGCTTAAAAATGGCATCAATTTATTATTTATTGATATTATTCATAATATTTATTACAAGTATTGACTATTACAAGTACTGTAGTTAAAAAGGGTAAAAGCTTACCCTTGTGACAAAGGAAGGCCGACCCTGTAGCACTTCAATAATGAATTTTATATAGCCTGATCGTGATGTGTGAAGCAGTCTGACACATCTGTTGTTAGTGAATTACAATAACTTGTTGTTTGACCTAGTGATGTGCAATATTATTGCATTTGAATGAAAAATGACACTTAGTTGTACTGAGTCATGTCAATAAACATTTATTACAAACAGGTAAAACTGTGGGAAGTAATAACAGTAAAAAAAAAATATATATATACAAGTCAACAATAACAGTAAAATAATGTCTCAGAACAGAGTAGCATAATGTAATGTAATATGGTACAAAATAATATGATATAATATAATGTAATATAGTACAATATAACATAATATAATGTAATGTAATGTTGATATTCATGTCTGCAGTAGTAGTCCAGAGGAATCCAAGAGAAGAAGGAGTTCAGGGCCTGAGGTGGACAATCATAGACAATGCGGCTAACAGTCCAGAGGAATCCAAGAGAAGAAGGAGCTCAGGGCCTGAGGCTGTCAATCATAGACGATGCGGCTAGAGTCAGGCAGGTTCGCAGCAGCCATTAGTCCAGAGCAACCTAGGGGGCTGGGGCTCAGAGACATACAGAGAGATCTGGTTAGCAATTTGATGGGAGAAAAGGACTTCAATGTACAGGATAATGAAGTAGCTAATTATGAACTATGCTAAATTACTTTAAGGTGATTAAAGTTAAAACTTTATTTTATAGATGTCAGTTAGGCTGACGTACGTGTCTGCAGCAATGGTCCAGAGGAGCCTAAGAGACGGAGGAGCTCAGGGACCGAGGTGGACAATCAGGGATGATGCAGCTGGGGCCAGGCAGTTCCGCAGCAGACCATCTGCAGCATTAGTCCAGTGAAAGCTAAGAGACTCACAGACACTCAGAAAGACAGAAATCTGGTTAGTGACTTATATGGAACATAAAGATCTAAAGGAGAGATAGAGACAGACTCTAGCTCAGTGTGCCAGATAACCCCGGCAGTCTAGACCGAAAGCAGCATAACTAAGAGCTTTATCAAAGAGGAACGTTTTAAGTCTACATTACATAACATTAAGCTATATTGATATTATATTTTATCGCTCTTTTTGCCGTACCCCTGAGCTTCGAGTGTAGCCCTCCACTCAGCCAGAGTCATGTTGACTGTGGCCTGACAGTACCAATTACCAAAATACTGCTGGTGGGTGGCAGGGTCCCGCTTCTTCTGGCACTGTTTGCAGGTGATGGTCTTTCGTGTGTAAGACCTTTTCGTTTTGCCAGTTTGCTCTTCCTCTTGATGGTAGAGCTGGGTGGTGTAAGGCAAGGCTCCTGCAGGTCTGACAGAAACCGTTGGTTGTGGAGTTGGCAGAGAAGGGTGGGCTGCAGGCAGAAGAGGTCTGGGAGCAGGCAAGAGAGGTCGGGCTGCAGGCAGAGGAGGTCTGGGTGCAGGCAGGAGAGGTTGGGCTGCAGGCAGAGGAGGTCTGGGTGCAGGCAGGAGAGGTCTGGTAGCAGGCAGAGGATGTCAGGCTGCAGGCAGAGGAGGTCTGGGTGCAGGCAGGAGAGGTCGGGCTGCAGGCAGAGGAGGTCTGGGTGCAGGCAGGAGAGGTCGGGCTGCAGGCAGAGGAGGTCTGGGTGCAGGCAGGAGAGGTCCGGCTGCAGGCAGAGGAGGTCTGGTAGCAGGCAGAAGATGTCAGGCTGCAGGCAGAGGAGGTCTGGGTGCAGGCAGGAGAGGTCCGGCTGCAGGCAGAGGAGGTCTGGGTGGAGGCAGGAGAGGTTGGGCTGCAAGCACAGGTGGATGGGATGCAAGCAGGAGAGGTCGGGATGCAGGCACAGGAGGATGGGGTGCAGGCTGCAGAGTTTGTGCTGCAGCCTGGAGTGGTGGCTCCAGAGCTGCAAGCAAAGGTGGCCTAAGACATGGCGCCACTGGGTTTTTGAGTTTCTGCTTCAGCCGGGCTGTTCCTGCACTATTAGGAGGCAGAACAAACACATGCGAATCTTTCTCACTGGTGGGAGGCATGCAGGGTTTGCCTTTCCTCTCGACTGCAGGAGGCAGGCTCTCTGGGCTCACTGTGGCAGGATTTGGAGCAGAAATTCCTTGCTCCAGAACCTGCGTGTCCTGTCGCCTTTCACGTTTGCAGTACCTAAAAATAATCCTAGTATTATTTTTGTGTAACATAGGGCAATGAAAGAGTACAAGATGTCTACTCAGAAACTAGCATAAATATTAGGTTATTATGTCACAAGGTTAAGTGTTTACCAACTCACCAGGTTGCAATTGTTGCACTATTCACCACCGGTAGCTGAATAGTTGTTCCCTCCATCACCGCAGCATTGTTGAGAATCACTTGCTGGATGTGGAGGTTTGCCCTGGTCACGAGGCTCCAGCGCTCATGCCTGACTCCATCAATGCGTCTGGGTCCCCTGTACTCCTTGCAAAGCTTGACGAACAGTGACTCACAGACACAATTGCTGTCAGGCCACTGCGCTGCGCTCCTCCCAGCTGCAAAGCATCTGCAAAGATATTGAGCATTATTAGTGTTAGTACATTAATCATGCAATAACTCCCTCTCTGCCAATATGATCTCCTCTGTCTCCAGTGCTGTAAGAGCCAACTTGTAGTCCTGCATGACAGCATTATTTTGGCTGTACAAGTACTGGATGCCAATGAGCTCTCCTGCAACAACAACAAAGAAGTGTGAGTCACAGGAATATGTATCCAAATAAAATCAGAGGTAATAATTTATCACATGCATACTGGTGTATTTTCGTGGGGACGTGTACTCGACCAGCTTTCTCCCAAGCACCTCCTCTGACAGCCAGTTGGCGACATGCCTAAGGAGGCCACTGTAGAAGTGTGGCCCTTCAAGCCCCTGTGCTGTCACTGTCCTGTCCTCATTCCACCTAGAAAGACAATCCACCAGATATGCCTGAAAAAAGGTGTCACTTGCCAGGATTCCTGAAAAATATTAAATATATGCACTGTGATTCCTTGAATGCAAATATATGTGAAATCATAAATATTATTCTATTACAGCTTATATGGAAACATAACACTGTGCACCTGGGATGAACCGGTTCATGTGCAGATGAAAGTTCTCCAGCGCAGTTGAACCTCTGGCACATTTGTACGTTGGCAGCACATGACCACCTTTCTTCTGTGTCCCAGTCTGTGTATACAGCTCGAAACCCGGAGTGTCCTGGAGGCAGGGAATGTGCTTGCGCTGGGCCTTCCAGATTTCAGCCATCCTCGCAGAGTTGATCAGAGGCACACCCAGAGTATTGCAGCCCCTCACTCCATCATATGCCTCAATCAACTCTGTAAGCATGTCCTCCATCTCTGTGCTTTTCCGCACAACCCTCCTGCAGTGAAGCATCATCTCTGACTTTGTGATGTGAGAAGTCAGATCAGCCTCAGTGGGACGCATGTGCCTTGCTTCTAGCTCCGCCTGCTAGGCTGCTCTGAGCTGCTGCAAGTCAGTCTTATTCCACACAAAGATGCAGCGGCTGAGATGAGCCATGAAGCTGATATAGAGAGCATGGGACTTGGTTGTGCATCCAGCTGCAAACCTCCTCATGAAGTGCCAAACGTCCAACCGAACCTTCAAGGCCGGCCATGCCCCAAAGATCTTGTGTAGGTGCGAGTTCCCACAGCAGTCACGGTCTACATACAGGATCTCTGGGGGTGGCACCCCGGCATCCTTGTAGCGCCTCACAAGACCCTCTGTCATCTTCATCAGGCCCCAGCCCTCACTTGCTGTGAGCACAGACATGATGACGTGTCCATGCTCATTCCCAACATTTGTGGCCCAAGCAGCTGTAGACCGGGCCTGACCTGCCAGCTTCCTTACTATCTTTTTGGTTGAGTCCATTTTCAAGACCTGGCCAAAGAGTGAGGTGATGGAAGCTTTGACTTCCTCCAGCCAGCTGAGGACATCCTGAGCGTACACCTGCATTAGCCAGCGATATTTTGGTACTGCAGGCATAGCTGGCAAATCCCCTGGCGGGACTGGTGAAATCAGCCCAGAGGAGACGGCTTGTGCAACTCCTTGGTACTCAGAGAGAAATTGGATTTGCTGTTCAATCCATGTTTCTGCGTGCTGCTCCTCCAACTGCTTCTGAAGCTGGCTGCTGCTGTTCCCCAAGCCTTGCTGACGCATCAGGCGCACAACCTGCATGTCGCATCCAAGCCTGTGTGTCAGCAGACACGGGAATTGGATGCGGTGGCCGATGTCCAGCTGGAAGACTATGGTGTGGCTCCAGCTGATGAATTTTCTTTTGCAGCTCTTACAGGCAAGATATTCAGATGCCAGGTGGTAAGAACTGCTGACACCAACCACCTGCCTGATCCTCTGATGAATCCCAGCAGAAGTGAGCTCTGATTTCCCACAGTCTGTATGAGGACAGAGCAGCCTCACACGCCACAGCTTCCTGGGCATCCACAGGAACAAGGGGTGCCCAAAAAACTGCTCCAATGTGGGTATGGCACTGGAGGTCAGCGATGGGCGAGGTGGGTACCAGCACATTCTGTCCACCTTTGAATGGTCCAGCTCTGGCTGATTGTTACGTGACCACCGAAACAGGACCTTCGCAATCCAGTGCTGGTCAACCTCTGGCAGGGCAGGGATCTAACCGGCAGGCAGGCAAATTCTGCTCTCTATTAAACAGATATGAGAGAAAGAAGGAATGAAAGAAGGTATGTATAAAACCACAGTCTTACATTTGGAGAGAATACACATGGAAAATGCACTACTTCATTTCACTGGTTTTTCTTATCAAATATTCACACTGATACCTCAAAGTATAAGCATGTTATATGTATGTATACTCATCTCATGCATATTCTTTGGTCATGTCCAAAATTTGTTCACAAGACATTTATGCCAATAAAGCATAATGAACTGAGTATGTGAGAGAGAAAGAGAGTGGAGGTGGAGGGTTGTGATGAAGTGGAGGGTTGTGATGAGGTAGAGGGTTGTGTGGCGGTGGCAGTGGCAGGTTTAGTCGAGCTTTTGGAGGCTTTTTCCTCCAACTTAACCTGAATGGCATATCGGCCTGCAGGATAGTGGGAAATATACCTCTGGAATGCTCTCTTGTTCATCAGGTTGTTCTCTGAATCAGAGCGTCCAGACTCCTCTGACATTGAGGCAACCACAAATCCAGCATACCTGAGGGCATTTTCAGCTACCCACTGAAATGTTTGGCCTCGAAACATGCCAAACTGCATCTGATGCTGGCCCAGTAGATGCTGCTCATTTGCTGGGTCTCCACCAAGCTGCGGAACAGCCATCTTTGCAGACTCCCTAACTTCCTGTGCTGAGCAAGCTGGAGCCCATGGCCTATTCTCAGCTTTAACTTTCCTTGCGTCCTCTGAATCAAAGAGGAAGGCACGGCCATCCCCTCTTCTTCGAAATTTAGGTTCCATTACCTATGGTAGAAAAAGAAACAGAATATACTTGCTCTGACCTCTTATATTGCACCTACTGTATATTGTAAAAGCCTAATTCTCACTCTTGTTTGGAGGTATGTATGTAAGCAGAAGTATGTATGGATATGTGATTGTATAGATCTGCCTCACAAATATTCAAGTTATGTCTGTCTTCTTCATATTTAGTTTTTTTTGGGGGGTTCTAGTTTATTTTACTACAGGATAGAGATACAGCAAAATAGTATTTTTATTGCATTGCTAACTTGTTTATTTCTGCATATGATCACAAAGCCTATGCATTCTTGTGTTATTTCCTTTCATTCGGAACTCACGCCTACCTAAAGTAAAATAAATCAAGCTCAACGCCTCTATTACTCCTCATGTAAATTAGGTTATGCACGATTTGATCGCATTTGCCTGTCTGTGATACAGTATTAGCCTACAATGCATGATATAGCTGTTCACAGTTTACTTTCTTATGACCAGTTATTTGTTAGGTACACTACTGTATTTGTGCACACATTTAGCTTCCCTGAACTGCTTTACTAATGCAACAACCTGTACACCAACAATTTCTCAAACAATAGATAGCAAACTGTGGAGTTATTTACATCTCGGACTGACGATTAGGTAACGCCAGCGTTCGTACCAAATGGTTAGCCCGTTATTCACTGTGCATGAGTGCATATGCGAGCAAATAGGCTAACACATCTAAGTGTTATCAGCCGCCACACATAAATCCGAATTTTATTTCATGTACGTACAGTGACTTGGCTAGCTAACTGTTACTGACAGTCGTCCGAAAATCATGTAAAACTTTCATTTAAGCCCACGAGCGCCCTGGTTAACTGACAGTCATCCGAAAATCATGCAAAACGTTCATCGCCCTGGTTAATGAGCTATCAATGGAGGTTAAGTCGAAATTCTAATATTAAGACAAGAAAATAAACCTACCAAAACTGCGGCGAAAGATGTCGGACCGTCTGGAGTGCAGTGGAAGGTAATGCCAGTCCATCCGGAGCGCAGTGGAAGGTAATTGGTTCTCGCAAATCTTGGTAGCAGCGTGGCATCTGATTGGTCAAATCTTGGTAGCAGGGCGGCATCTGATTAGTCAAATCTTGGTAGCAGGGCAGCATCTGATTGGTCAAATCTTGGTAGCAGGGCAGCATCTGATTGGTCAAATCTTGGTAGCAGGGCGGCATCTGATTAGTCAAATCTTGGTAGCAGGGCAGCATCTGATTGGTCAAATCTTGGAAGCAATAAGCATCTGATTGGTTAAATCTTGGAAGCAATAAGCAACGGGATTGGACGTCATATTGATTCATGAGGTCGACTGACAGGTGACAGGGAGCGCCACTGGCCCTAATGTTGCATTCACACCAAGTACAGGTTAAATCATTGAATGAATTTCAAAGATGCAAAGTGATGCATGCTCTACTTGAATGATGATGACGCAAATTGCTTGATGCGAATTGAGCTGAGCTGATCATACACACAACTGACACTGATTCGTGTTGCATCCAACACACTACTTGCCTTAAATACCTATTTTCGAAAGTTGACAATATCTCAACTCAAGTGGATGTTTGCACTGCAGTAGCCAATCAGAATAGAAATACCCTGGTGACATACGTCACCAACAGAGCTGCGGAATAAAAAACAGGGTTCCTACACAGTTAATATCTCCATATTTTCCCAAACCCTACTTTTTAGAATTATTTTTGGAAAAATAATTTTAATAGTTTTTTTTTTTTTTACAGTGCTAAAAGTCTGGAAACCTAAATATTTTTCCATACTTTATTTTTCATTTACCATACATTTTAAGACATGGAAATTAATCAAATTACTTCCATACTTTTCCATACTTTCCATACTGGTTTAGGAACCCTGAAAAAAAAGCTCCGCTGGAGGAAAGAGTGAGGAGCTCTGATGATCTTCATAGTGTGATCAGCCTCTACTATGTTAACAGACTGACCTGACATGTAGGAACCCCTCCTCTCTGTCTCTCCTTTAATTATGTGTGTTTGGGATCTCTGCAAAGGCGATGCAAACATGCAAATTAAGCAAATACACAACATTTGTGCGTCCATATATGTGTGAATTAAGTGAGTAGATGTTTTTACTTGTGCTTGGTGTGAACGTGACATAAGGGTGATTCCTTATTAATTAGTAACTTTCTCATGCAGGTCAAATTTCACAGACATGGTAATAGCCACAGTTCCTTTTTATTTACCCATTAAGAGTCGTAATAGTAGCACCACCTATAGAAAACAAAGAGAATTCAATCCAAAACATTGTTTTAAATGTCCTTTTTAATCCATGCTTTTTTTTTACAGTAGTAAACATCCCTTTAGATGGAAACCTTCTCAGGTCATCACCCCATGTCCAGGTAAAAGACAAGTATGCTTTAGATTGAACATGCATGCTGACAGTCTTGCTCTGAGGCAAACTACTATTATTATTATTATTATGGTGGGTAAGGCAGAGGGTGGGGGTCAGATCTATTGTTGTCCTTTGTGTATTCACAGTTAAAAACAGAAAAACAAGACAAGTTTGACCTGAAATAACACACCAGCACAGACATATCTACACATACATGTGCGCGCTCACACGCACACACACACATACACACACACACACACACACACACACACACACACACACACACACACACACACACAAAGTTTGTTTTTATATTCAGCCTAGCTCTTTGGTCACCACAACTTTCAGTTTAACCTCCATCTGACTTCACTGCTCTACTCCTCAGCTGCTCCAGGGGCAGAGTGTGTGTGTGTGTGTGTGTGTGTGTGTGTGTGTGTGTGTGTGTGTTCCCTCACACTGCGGGCTTTAAAACCTTCCTCTTATGTTCTGGGAGATTGAAAGTGTCCAGCGTTTTATTCAAATGACACGCTGCCTCACCGGGCGCCTCTCTTCTCTCCTCCCCCTCCTCCCCTCCCTCCCCCACATTATTTTTGAAGACAACTGCAGGCTGGAGGATAAGAATCCCGGTTGCTTGCTGGCACTTTTCCGTGGGCCTGATTTGAATAAAGAGCTTTGAAATTAAGTGGACAGGCCCGTCAGAAAAGCAGTGCCGTGCCTTTAAGAAAGCCACCGAGCCCGGCTAAATTATTTTGATTGACGGAGCCGGGACGTTTTTAGCGAGCTGGCTGGTTTAATTGCGAGTGCCAGGGGGCATCTTCAGGGGCCAGGTAGCAGCGTTCACGTTTGATCTGGTGGAGCTGTCTCCCGGTGGTACGGCTGCCCGGGCACCAAGGGCCAGAGGGCAGATGAACAAAGACGACAGAAAGTGTGTGAACCTCACTCCTCTTCCTCTTCTGAAACAGGAGGAAGAAAAACAAAGCTGTGGAGTGGAGTGGGCAGCCAAAAGTGTGAAAATGGATTTCCAAGCTCATTTGATGTCAAGTCTTCAGCGTCAGGAGTGGTTTATTCATTGATAAAGAGAGCAGGGGGAGGAGGGGAGGAGAAGGGGGAGGAGGACTGGAGCAAGGAAGAGCATCTTCTGACAAACAGTTTTTTTATTTCCTGGGTGGAAGAGAGGTGTGAACGCTTTCAAACAGGAGGGAGGATTAGGGAGAGAGGGCTTAATGAGAAAAAGATCCACAGTCTGCGGACAGGGCTGTCACACACACACACACACATACACACACGCACACACACACACACACACACACAGCAGTCCTCCTTAAATCCCATCAGCCCGCTCTCCTCTATAACCTGTCCTCTATCTCTGCAGCTGTCCGTCTCGGTAAACCAGCAGCAGTCCCTCTCTCTTATCATACTCAGGTATGCCAGGTGAACTGAACCACTCAGACTGGGTGTACCTAACATCAAGTCCACTGTCCACATCAGTCCTGGTCTGTCTCAGCCCCTGATACTACTGCTGGAATAAACTTTTTTATCTCCCTGTGGGTGTTTTTGTTCAATTTTTTTCTGTGAATCCTGAAAATACTGACAGCAGTAGCAGTGGACTTGTTTTTTACCTCTACAGACAACATTTAATCCACTTACTAAAAACACAGCAAAAACTCTTCCTTCTGCGCAAATAGTAAAGCAGTTAATGATGCACTATAGAGGCAAAGCTAATGCAGAAGTCAGAAAGAAAAGTGCCGTTCCTCGAATGTCCACTAGAGGCTGGCTCTGGAAGCATTTGGAACCACAGACACACATAAGCAGTCCACCACATAAGCTTATCTTTACCACAAAAATGAAAATGCTTGCAGCCTAGTCCCAAAAAGTTTTCTCTGCAAGAGGTGATTTTTTTTTGTGTCTAAGTCATGAGTTTCGATGAAATCAAAGGGACAAGTTTGGTAAAACAAAAGGCCCGGCTGCAACTTGAAGCCATTGGTGAGCAGTCTTAAGCCTGGTTCTCATTTCTTTGTTACACCTATGTTGTACCAAATGCAATAGGTTTACAGAGCCCTGTCCCCTGAAAATTTAACTACTAGTCGAACAATGTGGACTACAGGAATCATCTGTCAGCCTGTTGTTCATGCTACATGCTCACTCGTTCTTCCTACTGACCCCGCTGCTGTAATAACTGTTGTTCTAGTCTACATTCAACATTTTTTAAAATCTCATTCATGAAATGCTCTGACAGCTTTAGCCGGGGACAGGTCATCTAAAATGGGGACTGTTCTTGGAAATCAAAGAAGTCTGGTCACAACACCCTCTGTGACGGTATCTTCGGTGTTATATAAACTTATGAGGGTCTGTGTGCATGACACCTAAACAAATTTAAACCAATCTTACTCATTAAAAATGATTTTACTCCTACTTTACCCCTGTTTAAAAAGACTTTAAGAGAAAAGGAGTATTTAGACTGTATTCTCTTGAGTAAGTTATTTTACTATGACTTCATTCTTCTGCTTGATCACCCTGAAGTTCAGGAGAATCAGCATTTTCAGCACACTGTCTGCTTCTCTGCTCTTACATCCATGTTTTAAAGCACCCAAACTCATTAGCAGCATCAGTCTGATTTGGATTAGCTTAACTCCACTCTGAGACTTCACTCACAAACACCAGACTCCCCTTTGAGTAGACTCACATTTGACTGTTTTCTGCCATGACTCCATAAGCTCTCCTGTCTGTGTTCATCATGGACTCTGCTGAATGTATGGGGACAGAGGCTTCTGTAAAATGATTCTGTTTATCATGTAAAATGCACCATTTTTCTCTGGATGAAAACCTGGATGGTCTCCTGACGCTGTGGCAGTCTGAGGGACAGATTTCAGATTTAGATGTAGATTTATGCATTGTCTTTAAAATGAAGTCTGCACAGTGCTGTGCCTGTTAAAGACACGTTTGGCTCTCAAATCTCTTCCTTTTCTTTTTCACCTCTATGACTGTGAGCCAAGGGCCACACCCACTTTATTATCTCTGTCTATAGATATAACAAAAAAGGCAGAGACGAATGCACACCAGTGGATACATATATATATATATATATATATATATATATATATATATATATATATATATACAATTGAAAACAGTAAAAGAAGAGATAATAAGATAAAATGTTGTCTCCTGTCTCCAGTCCATCATGATTTGCTTCCTTAGCTGATGTTTTAGGTCTATGTTTTTTAATGTACGCAATAATGACTGGAGGGCATCAGTGGAACTTCTGCGAGGAAATGTCCGCCCTGGCTAGGAAAAATCAGGCATAAGTACTGTATCCTCAACACGATGTGCTAGAGCAGCACAAACTATCAGGCACCTACAAGTGAAGAGAGGAACGCAGGGAGAGGAGCAAGAGGACAGGGAGAGGAGCAGGAGGAGAAGAAGAGAGTAGAGCAGGGAGAGTAGCAGGAGGACTGTAGGGAGAGAAGCAGGGGGACAAGAAGAGAGGAGAGCAGGGAGAGAAGCAGGAGGACAAGAAGAGAGGAGAGCAGGGAGAGAAACAGGAGGCGAAAAGAGGAGAGCAGGGAGAGGAGCAGGAGGAGGAGCAGTGAGGAGAGCCAGGAGCAGGAGGACAGGGAGAAGAGCAGGAGGAGGAGAAGAGAGGAGACCAGGGAGAGGAGCAGGAGGAGAAGAGAGGAGAGTAGGGAGAGAAACAGGAGGACAAGAGAGGAGAGTAGGGAGAGAAGCAGTAGAACAAGAAGAGAGGAGAGCAGGGAGAGGAGCAGGAGGAGAAGAGAGGAGAGCAGGGAGAGGAGCTGGAGGAGGAGAAGAGAGGAGAGCC